CTAGGGTATTTTGGCTCTAGTTCTGGACAATACAGGGAGCTGGAATGGGTGAGATTGTGTCATAATATAGAATCACTAAGCCTGTGTTATTGGCACCGTTTTCACCTTTTTCACACTAGTCCCTAGTATATAACCACAAGGTACCAGGACATTATGACCCAGAATTTGATAACTACAATAAACTATGCCCCTATTGAATATGGTTGCATCATTGTACGATGCCTATATTTAATTTTGGGGCGTTTAGATGTTTTTATATGTATATGGTATTGTGTTTATATAATTCTTTATTATTGTGAAATAGTTTTAAGGTTCAGTTTTACTATTCCATCTATGAATGATGAAATATAGCCCCTATGCCATGGAGATAGTAATTAAGAAGAGGGCTTTTGCGGCACCTATTTGTGCACTCCCCTATATATATCTTTGATAAATGGCTCTAGGTCGGGCCTTTCTTCTTTTTCCCTTCTGGGGTGGGAAGGTATCTGTATCCATCTATATATGAGGAACCAGCACCTAAGTGTGTACCTGTTTTCTTATTCCTTTCTCTATTTTGTAGATCTTCAGCAGCAGCTGTTTATTTCCTGCTGCTTATGATCCATGGCAATATGGCGGCGATCGGGGGCGCATGCGCAGTTTGATACTGCACAGCCGCGATCCACGGCAAAATGGCGGCTATTCGCGCATGCGCAGTTCCGCTTTTGATCGATAGAGCGGGATTTTCGCGCATGCGCGAACCACGTTTAAATGGAAGTCTGGCTGTCACACTGCTAGTGGCGTCCATCCTCTGAAGAAGTGCTTTTTGCACGAAAGGCCTCAGGAGGAGCCAATTAGCAAGTGTGACTTCCTGACCACTGAGACCACGAGGAAGTCCAGTGGTCTTTGTTTTATACCATTGCCGGGTTAGTACAATTTCTTTTTTCATACCTACCTGTCCGTTATTGGCTAATGGTGTATGGATGTGTATGTGCAGATGACCCAGGCATTATTGCTCCAATAAAGTTTTGAAACTACCACACTATTGGCGTTCCCCCTTTTTTCTTGACTCTCCTGTTGGAGGGTGCAGATATACATCTTCCATTCTTGGGGTGTCTGGAACCAGAAGGGGGATCCCTGTCTATCTACCTGAGGCGAGAGGGCCTCTGGATCTGGAGATATTGCTACACCCAAGGCGGATGTTAGTGGTGGAGAGGGAGGATCCGTGTGGTCTCTGGAGCTGCATACCTGGCTGGTCTTTTGGATTATATTATACACAGGCGCATTTAAAATGTACGGTCGGTGAGTGCGCATTTTTGCTATTTTCCAGTCACCTAATGAGGAGAAGACCTGCACATATTTGGTTTTATTGTCACAAGAAAGACTCTATGAATTTATATTAATTTTATCATATTTTAGCGCTGCACTATATATATGTATAATGTCTCTGTTATGAGGTCTAGTGATCCCTTGAAGTGTTCCAGCGGCTGGTTTTTCTGAGCGCTCGCTATATTCACAATTCACATCTTGGTATACTGCAGGCCCCATCATCAGTGCTAGTGACAAAATTTGGCCTTCCATGTGCACCACATGGTGCAGACATTGTTTCCCAAAGACTGCGCTATTAGCCAAGATGATAATGCTCCGATTCCAACAGCTGGTGTTGTCAAATTGTGGTTTGACAAGCATGCAGATGACGTCTTGCACCCTCCCTGGGCACCACGGTCTCCGGACCTTAACCACTTGCTGACCGCACTATAGCCGAATGATGACTACAGTGCTGCTGTCCAGTTCTGGGAGAGAGTCTATTGATGTCCTCCCAAAACTGCACCCCCTGCAAGCCCACTGCAGGGCGCAACCGGAACCCTCTGTAACCCGTGTCCGAAGTAAAAGGGGCCATCACCGTAAAGGGCAAATAACATTGTCTGTTTACCAGGTGATCAGCTGTGTCCAATCACAGCTGATCACGATGTAAACACACTTGCTGGTTATCAGCAGTACTTTCCTCCCGATAACCAGCAAGTGTGAAAGGAGACATCTCCACTGATAATCAGGGCACTGATCAGTGTCCTGATTATCAGTGCAGCCCCAACAGTGCCCATCAGTGCTGCTTATGAAATGCTAAACAGTTTCCATCAGTGCTGCCAATCAGTGCCCATCAGTGCCCAGCAGTGATGCCTATTAGTGCACATCTGTGCCACCTATCAGTGCCCATCTGCGCTGCCTATCAGTGCAGTCTCATCTGTGCGACCTCAACAGTGAACATCAGTGAAGCAGAAAAATCACCTGTTTGTAAAATTTATAATAGTATTTTATTAAACATTTTTGGTCTTTTAAATGTTTGTTTTTTGTTTGTTTAGCAAAAAATAAAACACTCAGTGGTGATTAAAAGAAAGCTCTATTAGTCTGAAAAAAATGATTTTTTTTTGCGTACAGTGTAGCATGACCGTGCAATTCTCATTCAAAGTGTGACAGCGCTGAAAGTTGATAATTGGCCTAGGCAGGAAGAGGGTAAAAGTGCCCATTAGGCAAGCGGTTAATATCATAGAGCCACTATGGTCAATTTTGGAGCACAAGGTTTGGGCTCGTTTTCCACCTCCGGCGTCTCTGCGAGAACTGGAGCAATTTTTGCATGAGCAGTGGAATCAGATTCCATTATCCACCATCCAAGATATATTTGTCAATTCCCAGGAGAATTCAGGCCATCCTGGATGACAAAGGTAGTCCAACACCATATTAGGTAACTATTTTGTTCTTTTACCTGGTGTTTCCATAATTTTGTCCAACCCCTGTAGGCATTTATAATAAATAAATAAACCTGACTAACTAAAACTATAAGAGATACTTTTTTCAGGTGTCATTTGATTTTTTTTTTTGAGTTGAGGTTCTGCATCACTTTACATAAAAAGTAATTTAAAGGGGCACACCTACTAATAATATTCAAAGCAATATTAAAATTCTGAGCCAAAAGAAGACTCTACTGTTTTTGTTTTTTTTTCCCCCGGAACAAATGCAGTCCTAGATTTGAAAAAAAAATATTTGAATTAAATATTTTAACTTCTGAACGGTGAATAGAAATGACTTTGAGAATAAGTAAGTTCGATTTTTTATTTTTTATAATGAAAGAGGAAGGTTTGTATGGCTCGTGTTAAAGTCATTAAGAAGAAATTCCCCCCAAAAACTAAATGTATATTGCAGTCTGGTAACTGAGAACAGGAACCTTTTTGAACAATGAAACATTCCTAAAGGAGAATCAGTGGTTTATGTGCATTTAGTATGCAACATTAACTTTCAGATTGCAATCATGAATTAGCTGAGCCAAAGAAGCATGTAACACACACAAAGTTAAATATCCATACTGAGTACAACAGTTATCTTTGCAAATGCTTGCTCAAAACTAATCAGAATCTAATTAGTTCTTTCAATAAATGTATTTTACATTAATTGCAAAGACCAACAACCAATATATTTAATCCTAAAGCTAGGTGCAGCAGCTGTGAAACATAATCTGGAGCAACTACACTGACATGATACTTATTTTCCATGAAAATGTGCACGGCACGCCACGCCACATTGGGAAGAGGTCAGCCAGTCAGTGACCGAGAAGTCACTGCTGCATGAAATAACCACAGGCTTTCTCTTGGCAAACGTCTTATATATGGTTTTACAGGCATGATCCCAGCATTATTCCTACTAAGCACTCATTTTCCAGCTACAGGACATTTATATAGCTTAACCTCCCTAGCGGTCTGATTATGTCCATATTTCTGTGCTCAAAGTGGTACATTGTTTTCAATGGAAATATGTTGTTTTTTTTATTGTAGGCCTGTAATTCTTAGGAATAACTCACTGAAATCTGTCCGAACAAGAGTCTAGTAAACATCCCGGGTAGGATAATGTTTGAAACACGAAATCATAAATTATAATATAATAATCATAAAAAATAATATAATAATAATACATTTAATTCAATAATGTAATCAAACCAAAAACACTCAAATCTGAAAGAGAGCGCCAAGTTCGCACATAACTGAGCTTAGTCGCAGAATTGTTTTCAGTGTCTGATGACGAATTTCCCCACGAATCATTATCACTCAATTCTGCAAGTAGTTCTAATTTACTATCGCTGTTCTCTAGCTGGTCTAAAACCACTTTTGACCTAAAGGGACGCTTTCTGGACACCATGGACGTTTCCCAGTTTCCAGGCAGAAAGAACAGTAAAAATGCAGGCAGGGCACAGGACAAAGCACTAGGGATAAAATGTATGTGAAATGCTTTGATACAGTAATGAAATACTATCAGATTTAAGTGTATTGAGTGAATGTCACATTTTTACATTTTTGAATTTCCCACTGGTTCCGTCCCCTGTACATCCCGTACGTTCTGACGCTCGCAGGGAACAGAACCCGGAAGACGAATGCCGGACTCGGCTGGAGAACATGGCCGGGGACGTTGCAGGGGGGACAGCGTGGGAATGCAGGACAAGGTAAGTGCAGAAGGGATCCTGGAGCAACGCTGCAGGGCAATCCCGAGTGTAGCTCAGGGTTACCGCTTCTGGTACTGAAAGTTAACCCTCAGCTACACTCGGGAATACCGCCAGGGGGGTTAACAGTAAAAGATAATCAGTATCATTTGATAAAGAAGAAATTAAATATAGCTTTAAATCGGCAATGCTTGTTCAAGTCAACAGTGTACCAGAAGAATAAATTAAATTTGAGTGTTTTTTTTCCAGATTTTGCAATAGTACTTCTAAATGCAAAAATAAATACCTAAGAAATCTAGTCCACATCCCATTTTGACCATGTTGTATACAATTTCCTAATTCCACACATCCTCTTCAATGCTTGTTTTCTCAGAAAATGCACAACTCAAAGGCACTTTAAATACTATTACATGTTCCCCAATGTGCTGTTGCACCCACTACATACTCTTAGGTACACTATATTGCCAAAAGTATTGGGACACCCCTCCAAATAATTGGATTCAGATTTTCTAATCACCTCCATGGCCACAGGTGTATAAATTCAAGCACCTAGGCATGCAGACTGCTTCTACAAACATTTGTGAAAGAATGGATCACTCTCAGGAGCTCAGTGAATTCAAGCGTGGTACTGTGATAGGTTGTCACCTGTGCAATAAGTCCTAACCCCGGAAATTTCCTTGCTACTAAATATTCCACGGTCAGCTGTAGGTGGTATATAACAAAGTGGAAGCAACTGGGAACAACAGCAACTCAGTCACGAAGTGGTAGGCCACGTAAAATGATAGAGCAGGGTCAGCACATGCTGAAACGCACAGTGTGCAAAAGTCGCCAACTGTCTGCAGAGTCAATGGCTAAAGATCTCCAAATTTCGAGTGGCCTTCAGATTAGCACAACAACAATGCGTAGAGAGCTTCATGGAATGGGTTTCCATGGCCGAACAGCTGCATCCAATCCTTACATCACCAAGTGCATAACTCTAGAGCAGTGGAGATGTGTTCTCTGGAGTGACAAATCACACTTCTCTGTCTGGCAGTCCCATGGATGTGTCTGGATTTGGCTGCTGCCAAGATAACAGTATTTGCCTGACTGCATTGTGCCAAGTGTAAAGTTTGGTGGAGGGGTTATTAAGGTGTGGGTTTGTTTTTTCTCAGGGATTGGGCGTGGCAAATCATTTCCAGTGAGGGGAACACTTTAAGGGCTCGTTCACACTTGACTGTTTTACCAACGCTTGCCAAACGCCCCTATAGCTTTGGCAAGCGTTGGTCTGTCCTTTGCGGAGCATTTTTTAACGCTCTGCAAATGCCGCATGCGCAGTTTAGCGGCGGTTGCTAGGCGTTTGCAATGTACAGAATTGTCAGAGGCGTTTGGGAAGCGGTAAAAACGCTTCCCAAACACCTCTCTGCCTCCTGCACACAATGCTAGTGTGAACGTAGCCTTAAGGAGTCAATATACCTCAGCTTTTTGGCCAATTTCATGCTCCCACCTTTGCGGGAACAGTCCTGATCTCAACCCAAAAGAACACCTTTGAGACGGATTTGAGTGGAGACGATGAGTTAGGCCTTCTCGTCCAACATCAATGCATGAACTCACAAATGCGCTTCTAGAAGAATGGTCAAACATTCCCATAAACACTCCTAAACCTTGTGGACAGCCTTCCCAGAAGAGATGTAGCTGCAAAGGGAGGGCCAACTCAATATTGAATCTTACATACTAACTGTGATGCCATTAAAGTTCATGTGCGTGTAAAGGCAAGCGTTCCAATACTTTTGGTAATATACTGTATTTGTAAATGGGCGATGCCTTCTATAAATACCTATGAAACTAACAACATCATCCTATCAAACTATAAACTTTATTCAGTGAAAAATAGTAGAGATGAGCGAATCGAACCAGGCGAAGTGGAATTCGATACGAATTTCAGGAAAAATTCGATTCGCGTCGAATCCGAATATTTGCCTACTTCGGGTGCGCGAATCGGATTTTTCCCGATCAGCCGGCAAAAGTGTCCCTGCAGAGAGCTCCGCTATTTCTGACAGTTCTCTGACAGTTCCTTCACATGTACAGCGGTTGAAACATTGTATCTATTTGTTTCCATTTATATCTATTTGTTTCCATAAATGGAACCATTTATGGAAACAAATAGATACAATGTTTCAACCGCTGTATGGAGGGAATGTCACAGAACTGTCAGAAATAGCCTATTTCTGACAGATTCTGTGACATTCACTCCATACAGCGGTTGAAACATTGTATCTATTTGTTTCCATAAATGGAACCATTTATGGAAACAAATAGA